GCTGTATGACCCTGGCAAAGTTATTGAACTTTTTGGATCTTATTTTCCTCATATCTGAAATAAGGGCAGCGGTGGACATGAAGAACTCAGAGGTCCTTGACAGCTCTTACATTTATGATCCTGACTTCCAATCTTTGTCTTTTTTGGAAGCGAGGTAAACTACAGGGTGCTTAAACTAGTTTAAAATGGAACGAAGACTTTTGGGACACCCTGCACTGCATTACAGGGGTAGAGAGAGAAGACTGACAAATTCTAAATTCCATTGTAATTGCCAGAGACGACAGACCTTGTTATATCTTTCCTCCCCTCGCTACCCATTATATCGTAACCTGCTTCAGGTAAGGAACTATCTTGCTAGCTTTTATTTGTATCATCAATGCTTACCACAGTACCTGACATATTTCAAACACTAAAGTTTCTTTCTGTCTCTCTCTCTCTCTCACTCTCTCTCTCTCCTCTCCCTTTTTCTCTCTCTCTCCTCTCCCCCATTCAATCTCTTACTCTCTCATTCCATTTTAGAAAACACATGATGACAATCTATTTTCATGGGGTATAGAGTTTTAAATGAAAGGCACAATGAACACATATAAAGAGAGGAACAGGACCTGTGATTTCACTGGCATAGGGAACTCCCAGGTGAGGAAATTCTCTCTACCAATGCAAGTGGACACCTTCACTGCAGTTAACAGTCTTGAAGAATAACCTAGATTATGGAGAGGTTAAAAAATAACTATGTGACATAGCTAGTATGTGTCAGGGGTGATCCTTGATACCGGGTCATTCTGACTCTGAGGTCAGCTTTCTATCCCTAAATCACACTTCCTGCGAATGTATTATAGTATCACAGAGTATACAGCATATAAATGTCATTTTTTAAAGGAGAGACACAAGAGAAGAACAAAAAGGATGAAATAATAAAGTTGCCGGTCTCTGGTCAATATCACAAAAAGTTCTCTCCAGCAAATCTTGACTAGAAACACTTGAGCCTATTTATATTACTTCTGTCCTTGCTTAATTCAGTTATTCAAGTATTAGGGAACTGTAATTTAACAGGCACTTTCCCAGGTAGAATGGGGCCTGGAAGACCTTCTAGAGGGCATGCTTCTATCAAAATGGCATGGCAATTTGCTTCAAAAAGAATGAGTCATCTTTTATTATTCAGAATATTACTTTAAATGACATTTTGGAATTACGACTTGAGCTTTCATGCCTGTACTACTTTTCAAATGAAAAGAAAAAATCTGAACCAACTATATGAGAGTGGAAGATATTTCTGAGTGCTCACATAATTCAGAAAATTGCTGAATGCATTATTTTTTTAGGTGCTACCTTGGTGGAAATTTACACTTCATAAGGGATTCAGGTACCAAATATGCATGCAGTTAGAAGCAACTAGTAAGATCTAATGTAAAATTAGACTGCATTTAGATTTTTTTTTTTTGGCTTGCAGCCTGTAAAATACTGGTCAATTAACAGTTAATTGGGCATTTGAACAAGACTCAGAAATCACAAAGGTCATTATTAATTGTGCCTAGAAAATGGTTGCAATCAGGATGTTGGCAGTGGATCACAGATTAAGTTAATAGATCTACTTGCAGGTGAGATGCTCTTTTATCTTGCATGTTCTGGCTGCTAGAGAACTATTACCACGTGGGTGTTTCCCAGAACTTTATGGAGGCACTGAAGCACAATTATTAGATCTGAAATCACTCCTAGTGATGCTCCCCAGGTTAACTGAGGCTGGAGCTGAGACATCTGATAACTTAAAAAAAAGATGTGGTTAGCAAAAATGTAGCTAACTACATTTTTATATTGGGGCCTTTGGAGACAGTCAAAGTCTATGAGAAAATGACCCTTTAGCATATATTTTTAAAATGTAGTTAGCATTTTTATACTGGGGACTTTGGAGAGGTCAAAGTCTACGGATGAGAAAATGTTTCTTTATCATACATGTTACTTTAAATTCTAAAGGATTTGTAAAATGAAATGTATCTGTGTGTCAGAGTTGAGTTAACTATTTTTTCATTATGGATGTGCAAGCACACAGCTTTTCTTCGTGTGGTTTCCAATGTGGTTGATAGCAAAACTATTTAAATGCCACTTCATGGTTTTGACAAATTAACTGTCTAGTCATGTGTGCACATACAACAGATGCAGTCGCTACGTTGAGAGCTAGAAGGTGATAAAGAATCATTCTTATCATAATCCCAAACTAGTAACAGGAGGCCAGTTTGGTGTGCTTATGGAAGAACATGGGGAAAAGAGACACAGAACTGGCAAACATGGATAGGCTGCAATCTGCATCACTGGAGGGAGTACCCATATTGGTGAGATAAAAAATGATTTTTTTATTATCCAGAAGAAACTGGCTTAGGAGCTCTGGTGAGTTTTCTCCTCTTTTCCAAAATATTCTTATAAGATGACATCAACTTGGAAGCTGTGGCCCCTAACACTATAACTGCTGCTAATGAGTGCTGTGTTCTGACCAATTGTTTGAATTGTTTTGTGTCTTGTTTTGCTTCTTGGAGGAGTGCTGTCTATTTTTATCCATCTCAGGAATGAGAAATGTTTTGGAGAGACATAGAATAATGTAAATCAAGTAAATTGAGCTCTACTGGGAGAAAGCTACTAAATAAAAATATAAATTTCTTTTAAAATCACATCGTAATTTTTTTCCTCACTATGGCTATATCTTATATTTTCAGGAAGGCCCCCCAAATTATAATTAACTAAAACATCCAAGTAACTGAATCTTACCCCTTTCAATGACAAAATTAAAAATAATTATCTTTAATAGAAATATTTTGAAAGTGCATCACATGTTTTAATACCTTTCAAAACAGAATATACTAAGCATATGTAAGAACTTGGGTAAGTTATTTCTTTTACTAATCTTCAAAATGTTGGAGAGAGATTAGACGATCATTAAGGTCCAAAACCCTAGGATGCTATGATAATTTGACCTTTTCTTAATAGCTCAGGGTCAACATTATGAATATCGATTTTTCTAATGGTACTATTTGTTCCTATATCATAACTGACTTTTCTAGGTTTTATGTCGGTATTTTAATTCTCATCTTTCTCCCATCTCATAGTCAATCAGGCTTTCATTTCCAACTAGACTACTACCTAGCAATCTTTACTTCCCCATCTCTCAACTCCAATGAGCTGCTTCTAATCTGTTAAGGACTATGAAAGATAGCACTCATTTGCAGAGCATCAAAAAATACACTAGGAAAAATCATAAGCTCTAGAGGTGGAAGGGATCTGAGAGACCATCTCTTAACCTATTTTAGGTCCAATTAACCTATTTTTACAATTGAGGAAACCGAGGCTCAGAGAAGTTATTTTACACTCTCTCCCTTCTCAAATTATCTTTACTTATTTATGAATGAGTCATATCCCCCAGCAGAATATTAGGATGCTTGAAGGCAGTGTTTTCTAGGTGGTCCAGTGGACAGAGCACTGGACCTGGAGTCAGAAAGACCTGAGTTTGAATATTGCCTTAGATCCTTACTGTGTCACCCCAAGCCAGTTACTAACCTGTATTTGACTCAATTTCCTCATCTGTAAAATAGGGATGATAATAGCACCTACTTTTCAGGGTTGTTATGAGGATGAAATGAGATAACACATTTAAAAGACTATTATTGTATTATTTATTATTCCTTGCACATAAGCAGGTGCTTAATAAATGTTTATTGAGGTCATACAGATAGTAACTGGGGGTAGAGGTGCAACCAGGATTTGAATCCGAGTCTTCTGATTCCAAGATTCAATGCTCTTTCCATTAATAGCATGTTTCCTTTTAGTAGTGAATTTAAGATTGACTGTCTCTTAAAATTTACATGACACATCCACAAAGGCCTGCTGCACTGTAATCATTTTTTTTCATTGTGATTTATTTAATGACTTTAAACTTAAAATGTAGTTTTAAATAAGTTTGGGCTTGTCTGTAAAAAAAAAAAGAAAGAAGGAAGGAAGGAAAGGAAGGAAGGAAGGAAGGAAGGAAGGAAGGAAGGAAGGAAGGAAGGAAGGAAGGAAGGAAGGAAGGAAAGAAGGAAGAAAGGAAAGAAAGAAAGAAAAAGAGAGAAAGAGAAAGAAGAAAGAAAGAAAGAAAGAAAGGAAGAAGAAAGAAAGAAAGAAAGAAAGAAAGAAAGAAAGAAAGAAAGAAAGAAAGAAAGAAAGAAAGAAAGAAAGAAAGAGCTATGTGGACAAAGATTAAGTCTTGCTTTCATATGCAGACAAATATCAACCAAGCTATTTCAGGGATCTTAGAGGTTACTAACTTAATATAGAAAACCCAAAAGGAGTTAAAAACTGAAATTAACACATATGTATACAGTCAGTCAAACTGGCATGGCCAAATAATTTTAAGGCTGTTCAATTTTAAAAGCTCACTGTCTCTAAGAGTTTTTATCTTAAATTTTATCTTTTGCAATTTTTATCTTAATGTAAGTTAGCTACAGGCACATGCTGCATCTCTAGGTGGTGCAGCAGATACGGCACCCAGCTTGGAGTCAGGAAGACTTATCTTCCTGAGTTCAAATCTGGCCTCAGACACTTACTAGGCTGAGTGACCCTGGACAAGTCACTTCACCCTATTTGCCTCAGTTTCCTCAGCTGTCAGATGAGCTGGAGAAGGAAATAGCAAACCACTCCAGTATATTTGCCAAAAAAAACCCAACCCTCAAATGGGGTCAGGAAAAGTCAGACATGACTGAAATGATTGAACAATAACAACAATCTCTGATCCTAGATCCAGAGCTCTTCTCTTACACTATGATGATGCCTCCTTGAGGACAAGACATTTGAAACTTCACATATAGTATAAACCAAGTTTTAACAAATGGTAGTTTGGCAATTTCTCAAAATATTTCTTTCTGTTTTACACATTTGTTTTCAGTTGGAAAATGTTATTTTGTCAAATCCTTTTTTTTCCCTTAAATCTGGCACTTGGCTGTCATTGAGGCTTAAACATCATTAAGGCAAGAGGTTACCTGAAAGTGGATCCCCAGTACTGTCTGGATAGCCATTTTCTTCTCGCTGCAAACAAAAAGAGCAAACTTCATTAAACTTACATGAACTATTAAACAAAACTAATGATAATTATCCTAGTTAATCAGCAAGATGGCTATAAAAATGTAGAATTTTGTGATAGGTTAATATATGCCATATAAGGGAGAAAATATAGATAATTAATCTTCAATGATGTAAAATATATTTTAAATTTAAAGGATATATCCTTTTTAAACAAAAATTAAAGCATGAAAGAGTCGCTTAATTTTCTTTTTACATTATAGACAAGGGTATGCTTTCCAAAAAACTCATAGGACATACTTTTAAGTTCAATCTACGTTATTAACACTTTTCTTAAGTGACAGTCATACAAACAATAAATCATGCCCTGATTTGTAGAGTTTGCTGATTTCTAAGGTGTAAATACTCACAGTGAAAATCTAACAATCAGCTAGCTAGTCAGAGCTGTCTCCAAAATAGATCACTGCTTATTTAATTATTTATACATGTTCCACCATATTGCCTTTCACCATAAATAAAATGCTTCTCATATATACACACACACACATATATACACACATATACATACATACATATTTAATATATTATAAATATATAAATATATTTAAATCTATAAATGTGTAAAATATATAAATGTATACATTATGTATACATTATATATGAGTTGTACATAATATAACATTTACATGTATTTATATATTTTTACATATTTATAGATTTAAATATATTTTATATATCATATATGTATATATATGTGTATCTATGTATGCATGTGTATGTGGACAGAGAGAGAATAATCTGGACCGTATTATGGGTTATAACTTAATGTAGTTTATTTTTATTTTAAAGGATTTTTTTTAAGAGAATTTTTTTTTTTGGCAACTGTTAAACGACTTGCCCAGGGTCACACAGCTAGTAAGTGTCAAGTGCCTGGTCTGAGGCCAGATTTGAACTCAGATCCTCCTGACTTCAGGGCCAGTGCTCTATCCACTGAGCCACCTAGCTGCCCTTAAAGGATTTTTTAAAAATATGTTTTTAATTCTAGTGTATCCTAGTCTCAGCATATTCAAAAGCAACATATGTATGGTAAATTCACCTCGATACAAAGCCTCCTTCTCTGTAGTCCCCATTCCTCTCTACCTGTGGTGAACAGAAGGACCAAAACCAAACCAAACCAAACAAAAAACCACCTCTCCAATGGTTAGGCATGAGGATGCATTTTGCCAGAGAATTTGGGGGAAGAAAAGGGCGCTAGTCTTCTTTAAGACTGTCAAGAACAGAAAAGATCATAGATCTGTTCTGGAGCTAGAAGGGACCTTCGAGGTCAAATCCAATGCTCTCATTCTGTAGAAAAGGAAAGTGAGACCCAGCCATAGTGGGTCTCACAGTGACTTTAACCCAAGGTTGGAAGGAAAAGGCACTGAACCAGACCTGGAGCCCAGATCCTCATTTGCCAAACGCAGTCTTTCCATTAATAAAATTTGGGTAGGAGACGTCTCCAATATAGTCCTTTCCAGAGACAAGGCTTTGTGTTTTACAACCTCTAGGGAACCTGACCACAGGGACAGCTAGTCCTAACTAGCTGTGTGATCTTGAATAGGTTGCTTAGCCTCTCTGAGATGCTGCTTCCTAACTCATAAAATAAAGGGGTTGGCCTATATGATCTTAGGTCATCCCTTCCAGCACTAAAATGCTATAATTTGATGCCCTTTGCTATTAGCTCCAACTTGAGAGACTATCTTTAAGACAGGAAGGGGAACAAGAACGTATGAAGTGCCTACTATGTGTCAGGTACTGCACTAAGTGCTTTACAATTACGATCTCACTCGATCCTTGTGCTCACATCTGTGTTTCAGCTTCAGTATTAACATCAAGGTTCTTATTTTTATCACTTAAGATTATAGCATCATCATGGGAAAAGCTGGGCAAGGGAGGTCAAGAAATTATCAAGTGTGATGCCTTGTCTCTAGAAAGAACTATATCGAAGACATTTCACAAGAGATTTGTTCATGGAAAGACCCCTGCATTTGGCATAGGAGAAGCTGGACTCCAAGGCTGGTGCAGTCCCCTTTCCTTCTGGCCTTGGGTTAAAGTCACTATAACCTTCCTGGGCCTCACTTTCCTTTCTCTATAAAACGAGAAAGTTGGATTTGACCTCTAAAATCCCTTCTAGTTCTAGCTCTATGATTTTTTTTTCCCTTAACAGTCTTCAAAGAAGACTCTCCCCTTTTCTTCCCCTAAATTCCTTGATAAATGCATTCACGTGTCTAACAGTTGGAGAGGTGTTTTGTTTGTGTGACTAATTTTTTTAAACGACTCACCTGCTTCAACTAAATCTCCTCCCCTCAAAACTGTCTTTAGTGGACTAAAGAAAAGCTGCTCGCTGTCACTCACGCAATATCTTTTCATGAACTTGAAGGCTGTAATTTCCCCTCAGCCCCTCCAGCCTAGTAGCATTTTTTCCTGATGTGTACAGAGACAGTTGCTGGAGGAACAGAACAGATCCTTTTCTATCTGACCTTTTAGCTCTATACAAAGCTAAACACAGATTCTAAAATTTTAGGGACCTCATTCACCAGGTCATGCAGAGGCCTGCCTTTTCACATCTTGAATAGTTTCAGAAACTGAGGATCATGGTACATTGATTTTTTCCATCTTATAGTTTCCTTATACTACTGAATTTAAAACTTGGGCTGAAGGAATGGAAGCAGGAACTTTCTAAGGTAATACTAAGAGACATGAATGTTAGCACTTGTACACATTTCACAGTAGCATTTTTGTAGCTTTTTTTTTTAAGGTTCACAAAGCACTTTACAAATATCATCTCATTTGATCTTCACAACAACCCTAGGAGGTGGTTGCTACAATTACCCACTTTTTTTTTTCACAGATGAAGAAACTGAGGCAGATAGTGCTTAAGTGATTTGCCCATGGTCATAACAGCTAGTAAGTGTCTGGGGTCAAATTTGAACTCAGGCCTTTCTGATGCCAGGTCCAACGCCCTATTCATTTCATTACCTAGCTACCTCTCGTCAAGAAGAAGTGGTTTTACATATAAATGAAACTACTAATAACTAATATGTTATATGGAACATTTAATTAGAGAAATGTAAAATATTTTAGTAATTTTTACTGGAATTAAAACCACTGTATTTTTTTAAAAAATCTTTTGAATGTTGTTTAAAAACTGTAGGAAGAGATACTGGCCTTTTGGATGGGTAGTTTTTGAAGCAAACTTGGATTGGATCACCTCTATGGGAGGTTTAGAGGAGGATATAGACAAAAGCTGAACACGATGAGAAAGTGTGGATGATTTGAGAGCTATGATGTTGCAGGGGATGCTCACATTGATGAACACTGATGAGATCACAACTCTACTGGGGTATTACTAATCTTTATCCTGAAAGTACTTTTTACTGAGCTACATGCCTGGGGCAATGTCATCCCCAATATACAGGTGGGGATTATAGCTAAAAGAATCATTAAGTAACTTGCTAAAAATTTCTAAAAATTATTTTAACTGAACCTGCAATTTCATTAGTTTAGGGAACTCTCAGGAGATAACTTCCTCTTTCAATGTAGGTCAGCAACTTCTCTAAAAATTACAGTTATCTGAGAGTTGCCTTGGAAAGTGACAGGATAAGTGACTTACTTAGGGTGGTATACCCAATGTGTGTCAGAAGATGATGGGGTGCCCCAAGATCATGTCTCTGGATGCCTCCCAATTTCTCAGCAGACCCCTGTCCTGTGAGAAAATTTCCTCGCTGCAGAACACATTCTCTCATCACAACAGACGGAGGGGTGCCCGGCTCAAGGGTTTTTGTCCCTGGCTGGCCCAAGAACTCTCCCTCCCACCAGATCCCCAAGATGCATGTCTCTGACAACTCCCTCAATGGCTGGTACGCTCCCTACATTTTCCCATCCGTAGCTTCCAGACACCTGGACCCTTACATTATCTAATCAGCACCCCTGGCTTTCCTTTCCCATGCCCCTTTTCCATATAAGCCCCAGCACCATCCTCACTCTCTTGCATGTTCCCTAAGGACTGTTGCCAGCTTTTGTAAAGCGTTACAATAAACTTTTTGCCACTTGACTAAGAAAAGACCTGAGTGTCTGAATTCCTTCCAGGAAATTCTGCCTTGGCATTCTCGGGGTCCCAGGACCCCCAAAACCTGTTCAAAGAGGGTCTTGAAACCAGGGCTTTTCCTCCATGAAGCTGACTGTCCGCTACTATACATGACCTCATGCTTAAGGTTATTATGGAAGAATCTGTACTTCTTCTTGTTCGATTGTGTCTGACTCTTTGTGTCCCCATTTGGGATTTTCTTGGTAAAGTTACTGGAGTGGTTTACCATTTCCTCCTCCAGCTCATTTTACAGATGAAGAAACTGAGGCAAACAGGGTGAAGTGACTTGTCCAAGGTCACACAGCTAGGAAGTATCTGAGGCCAGATTTGAACTCAAGAAAATGAGCTGTCTCGACTCCAGGCCTAGCACCCTATCCACCGCACCACCTAGCTGCCCTACTTGAATCCAAGAATGTAGAATTATAGATAATTTTGATTACATTAAATTGAAAAGTTTTTGCACAAACAAAGCCAATGCAACTAAGATTAGAAGGAAGGTAGAAAATTGGGAAAGAATTTTTACAACCAGTCTTTCTGATAAAGGCCTCATTTCTAAAATATATAGAGAATTAAGACAAATTTATAAGAATAAACAAGCCATTCCCCAATTGATAAATGGTCAAAGGATATGAACAGGCAGTTCTCAGATGAAGAAATTAAAGCCATCTATAGTCATATGAAAAAATGCTCTAAATCATTATTGATTAGAGAAATGCAAATCAAAACAACTCTGAGGTACTACATCACACCTATCAGATTGGCCAACATGACAAAACAGGAAAATGATAATTGTTGGAGAGGATGTGGGAAAATTGGAACGCTAATACATTGTTGGTGGAGTTGTGAAATGATCCAACCATTTTGGAAAACAATTTGGAAC